TCGCTGGGCGCCTACGTCAGGCGAAACAAAAAGCACGACGTCGGGCGTCTGGGCTCGGATGAGGGCGAGGCACCGCGGGCGCCATGGGGCGCCCCGAGGAGTCCACGCCATGATGAGCTCGTGACGTCGGGGGTCTTGGGCGGCGCCGCCTCGGCGCCCCTCTGCGGCCATCGGCGGCCTTCGGCGGGCGGCCATCGGCGGGCGGCCATCGGCGGGCGGCCGTCGGCGGCCTTCGGCCGCCCTTCGCGGTCTTTGGCGATCTTCGGCGGCCGTCGGCGGCAATTGGCGGCCTTCGGCGGTGCTCCCTGCAGGGGCCCTCGGCGGGGCCCAGCGCCCCTGGGCGGGCCGCCTCGCGGTGCGAGGTGGGCGGTGGCGCCGCGCAGCGCAGAGCGAGCGGCGGCACCGCACGGCTCCTCCTCCTTCCTCCTCCTCCTCGTCCTCCTCCTCCTCCTCCTCCTCCTCCTCCCTCCTTCCTCCTGCTCCTGCTCCTCCTCCTCCTCCTCCTCCTCCTCCTCCTCCTCCTCCTCCCTCCCTCCCTCCCTCCCTCCCTCCCTCCCTCCCTCCCTCCTCCCTCCCTCCCTCCCTCCTCCTCTTCCTCCTCATTCTCCTCTCCTCCTCCTCCTTCTCCTCCTCCTCCTCCTCTTCCTCCTCCTCCTCCTTCTCCTCCTCCTCCCTCCTCGTCCTCTTTTCCTCCTCCTTCTCCTCCTCCTCCTCCTCCCCTTCTCCTCCTCCTCCTCCTCCCTCCCTCCCTCCCTCCTCTCTCCCCCTTCCCTCTCTCCCTCCCTCCCTCCCTCCCTCCTCCTCCTCCTCCTCCTTCTCCTCCTCCTCCTCCTCCGCCTCCTCCTCCTCCTCCTCCTCCTCCTCCTCTCCTCCTCCCTCCTCTCCTCCTCCTCCTCCTCCTCCTCCTCCTCCTCCTCCTCCTCCTCTTCCCTCCTCCCTCCTTCCTTTCTTTCTTCCTTCCTTCCTTCCTTCCTTCCTTCCTCTTCCTTCCTTCCTTCTCCTTCCTTCCTCCTCCTCCTCCTCCTCCTCCTCTCCTCTCCTCCCTCCTCCCTTCCTCCCTCCTCCCTCCTCCGTCCTCTCCCTCCTCCCTCCTCCCTCCTCCCTCCTCCCTCCCTCCCTCCCTCTCTCCTCCTTCTCCCTCCTCCCTCCTTGCTCCTCCTTCCTCCTCCTCTTCTCTCCTCGCCCCCACACCTCCAGCGTGCTGGACCGGCCAGTGCGGATGTGCTCCCGTTCTTGGCTGCGCGGCTCCTCCGGCCGCTCGTTGCCCTCTCCAGGAGGGCGTTTTTCCATGCCTCGGCGGGCGTGAGGGGAGGGGGGAATCAGAGGCGACGATAGGGGCGAATAGCCCAGGGGAGAGCAACACATGTGTTCAGGTGCGCCGATGATCTATGTCTTCGAACGGGCTCCCCGGCGAATACGTGTAATGCCCGCCCCTGGGCCCTTCGTCCCTAGCGTCGCCCCCGGGGAAGGGCGACGAGTCGCGCTGGCGCCGTCTGGAAATGTTCAGGAATACCCGAAGTTCATTCGGATAGCAGATGCCTGTGGGATCTGCAACGGCAGGGCGTGCACCACTCCATGGATATGATATGCACGAACCTGCTAGAACTGGTTTGCTTTCCATTCCCTCCTGCCTCTTCCTCCTCGTTCCTTCCTCCTTCTTCTCCCCGTCATCGTCGTCGTCCTGCTCTTCCTCATGTCGTCCTCGTCCTCCTCATTGCATGGCTATGGCAAAGTGCTGCACGCAAGGACAGAAGGAAGGATGGAGTTGAGAGAAAGGAAGGAGGAGGAGAAGGAGGAGGAGGAGGAGGAGGAGGAGGAGGAGGAGGAGGAAGAGGAGGAGGAGGAGGAGGAGGAGGAGGAGGAGGAGGAGGAGGAGAACAGGAGTAGGAGGAGCAGAAGGAGGAGGAGGAGGAGGAGGAGGAGGAGGAGGAGGAGGAGGCTAGACTCGACCAGAAAGGTCCTGCAAAACACTTACGACCCACGGGATCCCCCAAACTGCCTCCCCCCGCCCCCACGCAGCACAGCAGCGCGGGGCCTAGGGCCAGAAGGCTGGCGGATCCTCGGGACCCTCAGCCGCGTGGGCCCTCTGCCTCGACGCAAGGGCCTCGGCTCTAGCCTCTAAGGCTCTCGACCCCAACCGCTGAGCTTGGGCCAGCTGGAGCCCGAAATACAGCAAGACTTCCAGGACGCTGGGCCGCTTAGAGCGTTCGGTCGGGGCACCCGTTTGGGCCACCACAGGAGGCACCGAGGAAACATGTCCAGACCAAAAAACGATTTCAGACTCGGATGGCGCACGAAGGTTACCGAGAAGCCTGTTCCCTTTGGGGTGCTTCCCTTTGGCGATGGCGGTGTTTCTATTTTTGGCGCTGGGGATCGGGCCTCCTGGGCAATTACCCTGGAGGCCTCGTCCCCGCTTATCTGCTATATACCCACGGCGCGTGGTACAGAAAAGCAAGAGGCCACAGGAGTGCATGGCAGCGCGCTCATTTTCATCCTCGAAGATCGGCGCTGCGAGCAAGGTATGCCCGTCCACGCGCCAGGGCCGCAGCGGGCCGCCGAGATCAGGCAGCTGGCTCCCGTCTGTGCAGTGGGAGCTGGCCTCTGGCACGGCGCCGTCTCCGAGATCCTTCTCTTCGAGACCTTCGGGCCAGTCGCCGAGGTCGATCAGCCGCAGGGCGTTCAGGCCCATGGAGTCCAGCAAGCCGCTTCGCGAGATGTGGACCTCCTGCGCCGCGGCATATTGCGCCGCCTGGCGTGCCAAGGACTGGCAGCCCTCAACGGCGTAGATGTCCTCCAGCTTCGCCCTTGCCGCAGCGGCGCCCTCCTTCGCGCGCATGTCGGCCCAAGCGTTGCCATCCAACTCGAACTGGGAGATCTGGCCTTCGCGAACGGCCTTCTGGCCTCGGTGGGCCTTGATCTTGGCCACCGTTGCTTCCTGGAGCTGCTCCGCCCTCCCTGCCCAGAGGTGGGCTCGCTGGCTGCAGGCGGCGGCCGCTGCCAGGGGGCAGGCCGCGCAGCGCACGGTGGCCAAGCAGTCGATGTAGAGCCTGAAGTGCCCACCAGCAACCTGGTCCGTGAGGACCTTCACCGCGTAGTCATCCCCGTCCCTGGCCAGCTGCTCGGGCGCCTCCTGGTTCGGGACGGCGCCCCAGGCTTCGGCACCACCCTGCGGTCCGCGTCGTAGACCACTACCGACCAGCCCGCCTTGCGCAGCTGCGGGTACGCCTGGTCCAGACCCGAGCCGTCCACGAAAACGTGATGCCCATCGAGGTGGGCCCGAGCATGTACCAGCTGGTCGAGCTCTGGAAGTAGTCCGTGCCAGGGCGAGGCTGCCGTACGACGAGCTCCGAAACGTCGGGGAAGAGGCCCCTGGCGAACAGCTCGGTGAACGGATAGCCCTGGCCCTTGACCTGCTCCGCCGCCTGCCGCAGTGGTTCCTGCAGGTAGTCGCGCCTCCATGCCTCGTGGGCCTCGCACTGGAAGCACCTGTGGTACAGCAAGCCGTCCTTGTATCCGCAGAGCTGGCAGCTGGTCGGCACCGACGGGTCCGCCGCTCCGACCCTGGCCTGGCACCAGTAGGTGTTCTGGACGAGGCTGCGCAGCGCCCGCTGGTGGTGCTGGTCCCACACCTCGGAGCGGTGGCAAGCCAGGTCCAGGATCGGCTGCCAGAACGGCGGGACCCGCCAACCCCACATGCTGGGGCCCTGCCTGGCCACCTCTTCCAGGCCGATGGCTGCTCGGCAGTCCTGCGCAATCATGTTGCCGACAAAGGCGGGCGAGTGCCTCCTGACATCGTACTCGCTGCCCTTGGCGTCGTGGGTCTTGTAGGGGTCGCTCTGGATGAAGCCCCAGCCGACGCACGCCAAGGTGAGCACCAGCGCGCTGATGGGCTCCTTGACCAGCCGCCAGGGATGCTGCTTCTGGGCGATGGCCAATCCCCTGATCAATCAGGAACGGGCAGCCGACTCTGGCAGCAGCGAGGCCCAGACCATCTCGACGTATGCCGTGAGCGCCGTCCTGGTGATGATGGTCAGCGGGTCGCGCTTCCATCCGTTCGTCTGGGCCAGGCTGGCCAGCCCCAGGGCCGCCCCGCGGGGCAGGCGGCCGCGCGCCTTGATCGCGCCGACCCTGAGCTGGCGCAGGCGGCCGTTGGGGACCCCCATGATGGCCGAACCCCAGGTGGCCTTGGCCGTAGGCCCCGCTCGGAAGACTCGGGTCCGATCAAGGACTGGAGGGAAGAGCCTGGTGAGCTTCCTCCCTTGGGCGCGGGCCTGCCTCTCGCGGCTGGTCGAAGTGGTCACTCGGCGGTAGGACCCCGAGACGGCGTCGCCGCCCAGATCCCTGTGCACGTCCACGAAGTCCTCGGGGGCCAGGTCCCAGCCAGGCTGCCGCATCAGCGCTTGGCGCAGCTCCTTGCTGGTGGCTAGCGCCTTCGTCTTGTGCCTGCTGAGCGGCAGGTTGGCCTCCTAGACCTTCGCGCAGAAGGCCACGTAGGTCGCGCCGAGCTGCTGCGCCACCATGGTGAGCGGCCCCGTGACGAGGGCCGAGACGTCGTCCACCACGTTGAGCAGAGGAGGAGGAGGAGGAGGTGGAGGAGGAGGAGGAGGAGGAGGAGGAGGAGGAGGAGGAGGAGGAGGCGGGGCCAGGCCGAAACGACCTGCCTGATTACAGTTTTTTTTGCCGATTCGTGCTCCAGGATGGGTCTGGGCGCCCCGGGGCCACGGGGGAAGTGGGCTCGCCGTCGTCGTTGTCCTCCTCCTCTTCCTCTTCCTCCTCCTCTTCCTCCTCCTCTACCGTATCCATGTTGGCTCAAGTTCAAACCCTCGGCGGCTTGAGCTTGGTCGCAGCCGTGAGATCTGGGCCAACGTCTCTTACAGCACAAGTTTCTGTCCGCTCGTGCCAGCCCCAGGGATCGCCAGATGTCCGCCCTGCTGGCACTCCATTCAGTGCGACCGCTTCCTCCGCATGTTGCCACGAAGCGAATCTCTCCTCGCGCCGCGATGACCTTTGGCGATACTTCCATGTTTGGTAGCCAGCACTCTGATGACCCAGGTCCTCCAAGGAAGGGGGCGCGCACTGAGGATTCCGACTGGCTCCGCGAGATGTTCGGTGACATCTGCTCGAACATGGCCACGAAGTCCGACGTCGCTGAGGCCAAGCGCACCACCAACGAACATGAGGTCAACATAGACGCGCAGGCCTCTCGCATGAAGTCCGTCGAGGACAAGTCCAACAACAACATGGGTGTTGCCCAAGAGGCTGCAGCTCCAGTGCTCCCCGAGGCGGTCGACAGACAGCTGAAGGCAGTGCAGGAGCAGAACAAGAGGATGCAAGCAGAGCTATCTGCCATCTCTCCCCCCTCTCCTACCAGCAGGTCGAGTGCTTCGGCCGCATCTCACGACGTGGAGAAGGCGAGTGACAACTGCAAGATCTGGATCGCTGGCTCCCTTTGTCCTCTGCTCAGCAATGTGATGGACGCGCATGCTACTCAACTACATCGCCAGCATGTTCCTCGTGGGGTTGCATGCCCTTCCCAAGTCCCACAATTTCCAGACCGCGTACAGCATCGCGTTCGAGTCGCCGACGTGCGCCAAGGACTTCCTGGCGTGCGCTCGCACGTTCGGAGTGGTATGGCACGATCCTCGCACCAACGCAGACTGCCAGTTGAAGATGCATGAATGCGTCGCCCGCTGTTCGCAAGGTCAATCGCATCCTCGGCGCCCTCTGGTCCTAGGTCGTGGACGCAGCCAAGTCCGCCAACAACTGGAACGAACGCTGCACGTCGGGGTCACAGGGGTATCGAGGTACTCCATGGCTGATCGCTAACGACGACACCGAGAATCTCTTCAAGGCCAAGGGCGCCGACTCCATGCAGCTCGATGTCATCCCGAACGTCGAGGCGCTGAAGAAGCTCGGCTTCGCCGAGGAGACCATCAGCCACGCGGTCGAAAGCACCCCGCTGTAGGAAATTGCCACGCCGAGCAGCCCGGTGCAAAGACCGCCGCGCAAAGTGCCTTCATCGGGGAAGATCAATATTCTAGTGGGTGATGACTAGCCTGATCTTGGAGCCCCGCGCTGCGCGGGTGCCTGCGACGTGTGCGACGCTTCCTCGCGAGCGGCAGTCTGCGAGGACCAACGTGGCATCAATGCGCCTCCTTCGATTTTAATTCGGTTTTCGGGCAGCCGCGCCACGTCGTCGCGGAGAGCAAGTGCCTCTTCTACGTCTTCCAGTTCGTCTGGGCCTCCCGGCTCGAGCTGTTCGTCATCTGGGTTTCCTCTTTCGCCTGGCTTCTCGTCTTCTACCTCTAGCTCTTCTTCGTCCTCTTCTATGGGGTGGCCTGCTCTGCCTGCGCGGTGCCGTCCTTTCTTGCCGTCGCGCAGTTATCGCATGGCGTGCTAGATCGCTTTTCGGCGCGATGCGCGGCCCGCAGCAAACGCGTAGAGCTAAGATTAGGCTGCGTGTCAGTATGATTCAAAATCAGGATGTGGTATGTACTCAGGAGGCTCGCAGGACGTGCGAGTGCCTTCGTGCTCTTGAGCGCAGGCGTTCCATCTCTCTGGTTTCTCTACCTTTCTCGCCAATCGTCTCTCTGGCGGAAGTCTCCTATTTCTGCATCCTCGGATTTGTAAGCTGCTCCCTCATGCTCATCATCGCGTCGTCGCGTCGGGTCGTGCACAACGGCGCGCGCGCGGTGCAGATTGTCAATGCCCATAGTGATCCGGGGCTCCGCACGCGGCAGCGCAAGCGCCCGCTGTCGCAGATTCGTGCTACTGTTCGTCCTCGCGCGCAGCGCTTGGCATCTATATGCGGGGACTTTAACGGTCCATTTTGGACGGGGGCAGCTGCCGTATCTCTGGTCGTCTCGCGCGCCCGTCTCACAAATTGGCCAAGCATCTCGACGCTCTCTTTGCGCGCCTTGTTGAGGTCGAAGCAGCCGCAGTTTTCGCGTCGAGTGGGGGGTCGAATCGACGCGAGAAAGGTAGGTGTCTCGCTATGGCGCGTGGACAGCATATGCGCGTCTATTCCATCCAGCCAGTTACTCGACCTTGCCCCGAGCTCTGGTGCGATTGGCTGCGCCGCTGATCTCGCCGTGCTGTCCGACCGCGTTCCCGCGTTCTTATTCCTGGCGCCCCGTGGCCTCGACGGGCCCCCGAAGGTGGGGCCGGTCTCCGGACGCAAGCAGTTAGTTCCCCTTAGTCATCCCGGATGTTCTTGACGGAGGAGGCGATGGTTCCCGGGGTCTCATTGAGCGGGTGGAGGAGGCGTGCAACGCCCTTCAGGCCGCGGCGAAGCTTGTCCGAGCCAAGCTTGAGCAGAAGGGTGCCAGCTCATTACTCGAATCATCATATATACATATGTATGTATGTATGCATGTATGTATGTATGTATATATATATATATGATATATATATATATATATATATATATATATATATATATCCTGGTCTCTGGCTGCGATGCGAGCCGAGCCCTCCGAGGCCCCGGGCATCTAGCTCGAAGGCTTGCCCGAAGCCCCAGCAGCTTTTTGATGTGAAACTGTGCGTCTATTCTGATTTTGTTGGCGTCCACCAGTTTTTCGCTCATCTCAAGCGTCGACAGATTGATGTTCGGATCGAAAAGGTCCAGCATGGCCCCGAGACCCCTGCTACTAAGAAGAAATAGTCCGTTAATATGCTCTACACCTACAGATCTGTCTAGAGAGGGCGCGGTTTCCAGGTCTCGCTGCAAGCCGTTGCCGATCCGCTCTGGGCCCCCCTTTTCGACCCAACGGCTGGTGCGCGCGAGCTCGCGCAGCGTTGGGGATCCGTTCGCGGCGCTGTTGCAGTTCAGCTTGCCGCTCTTGATGGTTTGCTCGTTCGCGCGCAGAGGGTACCTGGTATAGTTTTATGGAGGTTGGAGGAGGCGGAGTTCATATCTACGATAAAGAGACCTCGTGACAGCGCCCCGGCGCCCGACCGTATTCCTGACTCTGGGCGGAGTCGTTCGGGGGAGGGGCGGGGGACTTGCGCTGCGCGACTTGTGCGAGCATATTCTTGGCGTTGGCGAGTGCCATCTTGACTTTGATGTCGGCCTCGACATTTTCCTGGCTAAGGGCGACGAGGAGCAAGACTCTACTTTTTGTGTGCGTGCGCGCTCCGTCGGTCACGAGGCCGCTTGCTATGTCGCGCACTTCGAAGAAGCTTGTCTCGCTTGCCCTGGGCCGTCCGTTCGTAGGCATGCGCAGATATACGCGCATCAAGGAACAGAGGGGACTTGGCGGAGGGAGGAACATGAACGAGAACATCCTAGAGCTAGAGTGTCGCGCTATGAACTGGTATGTTCAGCGGCCTGTCTCTAAGAGCGGCGTCGCGATGATCGATGTGCGCGCTCCATTCCCGGGCATGCTTCGCGATGCCATGTTTTTCGCGCTGCGTGCCGTGGGAGTGCCCGGCCATTTCGTCCGTACCATCCAGCGTTTGTATTCGAATGTGTAGATCTCTATATCGCACCGCGGCGCACACCCGAATGTGGGCTTCTGGCTCCCCCGTGGCCTCAAACAAGGCTGTCTTGTCAGCGGCTCGCTGATCGCGCTTACCGTCGATCCAGTGTTGCGGAAGATCTGCCTCCCGCTGCCTCGCCCCGTTCATGGCCTTGGGGCCTTCGCCGGCGACGTGGGGATTAGCTCGGGGGACATCGTTGAAACCGTCGTTTCCAGCGTGGAGGTTCGGGGCTGGCTGTGCCTGGGCTGGGCCTTTCTATCCGTGTGCGGAAAGCGATCGTGGTGCTGCTGAGCCTTTTCGGAGGCTGATTTTCTGGCAGCACAGGCGGGGCGTGGGCTCCAGGTGCCGGGTCTTCAGCTTTTCTCCTCATGGCCGTAATTTGGGTATCCGTCTGGGGCCCAACAGTGCAGCCGAGTCCTGGGGGCCCGCGATGAGGAAATACGTCCAGAGTGTCCAGCCGATCCGCGGCTTCGAGCTAAGATTGACCAAAACGATCTCGCGCTACGACATGCTCGCGTTTTCTGTATTCACGTTCATCAGCCAGTTTTTTGGGCCCCTCTGCCCGCTGTTTGCAAATGGAGCGCGCTGGACTGCAGCTCTTGACGATCGGCCCGAACAATGCCACCGCAGCTTCGCTGATGCAGGGCCTGCAGCAACTGGGCTTCCCTGTCGACGCCCGCTCCCTAGGGTGCACCTGCCGTGCCGTCCGATATCGCGCTGCCTGCTACTCTCCTGCCTTCCACGAGATCAAACAGATGCTTGAGGACTTCTCGGGGGACGATGAGTGTGCGATCAGCTCGCGCTCGCGCCCGTGATGGCCTGGAAGCATCATGTGGTCTATGATCGAGAATTTCGAGATTCTGACCAGTATCCCCCAGGTGCCGCGAGATGACGTGCCCCTGCAGAGAAAAATGAGTCCGTGAACTCGTTCTTCGATCCGTGAAGCCCGTGTTGTTTACCCGTCTTTCCAACAATGGCCCCAGGTTGTGTAATGTTGATCTCGACTGTGTGTTGCTGGCCTTCCGCAGGTCCGCTAAGTTTGTTCCCCCTTCGGTCCTCGCCTCTCTTTTTCAAAACGTTGTGTACCTCTTGGTGCACTACTGGGCGTTTCCGCAACACCACGCTCGAGTGTCCCCTCTGCGGCCTGCAGGCTGCCGACGGTTTATTTTGTGTGTTGTGTTGTTTGTTTTCTTTTTGTTTTGTTTTTAAAAAATCGTTTCAGAGTGCCCGAGGCTCGATCTCATTTTTTGTTGCTAGGGCCCACTACCGCGTTTTGTCTTGCCCGGGGCGTGACCCGAATTCAGATGTATACGTTTTTTTCTCTCTAGCAGGTGATGCTCTGGTGCCCAGTCTCTTGTATTTCGATGAGTGCTTTCACTGCTACCACGTGTGTCGCCACCGCCGTGCTTCCCCAGTCGCGATTGCAGGGGCGAGGTTCCAGCGGGTGTGCCGACAGCGGCCCTCGCGGGCCGCCCTCGTCGGCGCGCCCCCCGAGCCGCCCGCGGGATGGTAGGGGGCGGGGCTCTTCGCCCTTGCCTCGCTTCTTGTCCGCCTGCCCTCTTCTCGTCCGTCTCTTTCGGCCAGCGCACTCCTCCTCCTCCTCCTCCTCCTCCTCCTCCCTCCCTCCCTCCCTCCCCTCCCTCCCTCCCTCCCTCCCTCCTCCTTCCTCCCCCGTCCCCGTCCTTCTTCTCCTCCTCTTCCTCCTCCTTCTCCTCCTCCTCCTCCTCCTCCTCCTCCTCCTCCCACCTTCCTCCTCCTTCTCCTCCTGCCCCTCTTCCTCCTTCTCCTGCTCTTCCTTTCGTTGGCATTGCCACGTGTATGTCCCTAGTGTTTTGCCAGTGCATTCCTGCGTCATGGATACACACACGTACATGGACGCAGAAGTGGCCGCATGTCGTTCCAGGGCTCGGCCTATGTATGTCTTAGTTCGCCAGCCCTCCGCGCGTGTATCCAGGACCTTGCCTCCGCATGTTCCGAATGTGGTTCCAGCCGCGTGAGTTCCCAGCTACGTGAATTGCCGAAAACACCCATCTTGAGATTTGCCGATCGTAACCCGACCGTTCAGAACAAAAAATGCAGCGCGCTTCCGGTAAGGTCGGGCTGGACAAGGGGCCCGCGTGTATTCCATGTGTTCACGCCATCCCGCACGCCCCCAGGCCATGCTGGTGCACCCAGGCGATGTGGTGCGCGCAGATGTTGTTGCAGCATCCGTGATGTGCGCGCACATGGTTGCGCAACGCATGATTTCGCAACGCAAGAAAGAGGAATCGGACGACTAGAGGTGGAGTTCGAAGGACAGAAGGGGGTGACGATGATGACAAGGCCACTTCCCCTTGCGTTGCCCAGCCTCCTGAGAAAGATGATGTGTATGTGATGCGTCATATGCTTGAAGAAGTGTTCCATTAAGTCCCCCCGTCCTTCTCCGTCGGGGCTGGGCCGCACTATCCCTCTCGAGGCCGGTGTGACCACCCTCTCCTTCTCCAGGGTCGTTCGCTTGGGATGGATCGCAACGGTCTGGAAGTCCAGACCGTTACGCTCAGCCCCCGTTTGGGCTGACAGATCGCAGTGGGGCGGGGCAGACATGGTGATGTTGGGGCGAATCCTGGAGCATGTCTCTCGCAGCGCCAGGAGACATAACAAATATCACGGAAACGATGCACCAAAAACCTGATACATGTGCAGTTTCAGCGGAAACGTCCGCAGTGCAAGTACTGATTGGGACAACGCGCTGCCTGGATGGCGGAGCTGATGTGGACCCAGCCCCAGAAAACTGTTCAGATGTCAGGATGACTTGGAAGGTCGGTATTTGCGGGGCTGGGCCACATCCTTGTCAGGCGCGCGTTTGTTGTGCTCGCACGGCCGCGGCGCTTTACAGGCTTACCAGTGTTACCAGGCCAATTCCCCCCTCGTGCCCAGGGGCGCCGGACTCGAATTAAGGGGACTCAAGCTGGCGGCAGGAAGGAGGAGGAGGAGGAGGAGGAGGAGGAGGAGGAGGAGGAGGAAGAGGAGGAGGAGGAGGAGGAGGAGGCGGAGGAAGAGGAAGATGAGGAGACAGGGGCGCCCAAACCCTTCCCAGAACACGAACCGATAACATACTTGTAATCCAACAGGTCGTTTCGGCCTGGCCCCGCCTCCCTCGCTCACCCCTTTCTCCCGTCTCCCTCCATAACTGTTCTGTTCTTGTGTGAGGCACCTCGCAATGCAACGGGGAGGACGAAGACGACGAGAGGAAGAGGAGGAGGAGGATGAGGATGAGGATGAGAGAGGATGAGGATGAGGATGATGATGATGCTGATGATGATGATGATGATGATGATGATGATGATGATGATGATGATGATGATGATGATGATGATGATGATGATGATGATGATGATGATGAGATGTGATGATGATGATGATGATGATGATGATGATGATGATGATGATGATGAGGAGGAGAGGAGGAGGAGGAGGAGGAGGAGGAGGAGGTGGAGGAGGAGGACGACAGGGGGAAGGAGGAGGGAGTTTGGAAAGATGAGGAACGGGGAGGAGGAGGAGTAGGAGTAGGAGGAAGCGGAGGAGGAGGGAGGGGAGAGGAGGGAGGAAACCTTATTCTATGTTCAGCAATCCCCAACGTACGACTATCTATCCATAGCTATCCATTGCAGGTTTCTGCATAGATGTAGCATGGTGTTCGCTCTGCCGCAGCAGGTCCCTGCAGGTGTCTGCTATCCGAGCTTTCGGGGCTGTTCCTTTGCATTTCCCAGGCGGCGCCGGTGCGAATCGTCACGCGAGCTGGTGTGAAGGGGGCCGCGGGGCCGGTCACGGGCGCTGTCTCTGCGGTGTTGCTCATGCTCTCGGAGGCCCTCCGGCATGGAGGTCCTCCTGCCCACGTGCGTCCGCGCCAGGCCTTTGCCCCTTGGCCTCCGGCCAGCGGGTGAACACGCGCAGCCGCCAGCGCCCCACCGCTCGGAGGAGAGCCAGCTGAGATAACGGGGGTGGTGAGACGCTGGCGGCCCTGCCGCCCGGCCCAAATG